TCCGGCTCGCACGGAGCGCTTTGGCGCGCCTGGGAGCGCGCGGGGGCGCCTGGGCTTGGATTTCGGGCCTGCCGACGCCGCGCTCGAGTCTGGCAAATCTGGCAGATTCTGGCCGACCCGGCAAAATGTCAGTGGCTCCACGACAATGGCTCCCAATACACATGTTCTGTATTATTTAGTATGATTCTGGGCTCTGGTACGTCCCCGCCCAATTTCGGGCGGCCCGCTCGTGCCAGCTCGCACGGAGTGCTCGTCGGGCCGCTCCGGGGGCGCTCCGGCTCGCGCGGAGCGCTCGGACTGCACAAAGTTTCTTGAGCCAGAGTGGCTATATACGGGAGGACAAACTCTGCTATCAGACAGAAAAATCTGAGTCCAACATGATCCCTCGATAGGCCCACACGCATCCGAAGTGAAGGCATTCACAGGACAGCTGGGACGGCTAAGTCCCGCGCTATCTAGATATAGCTGCCACCCTGGACTTCCCCAACTTAGCTTAGCCTGCCTATCTGGCGGCGTCAACTTAGAATGACATAGACAACATCGTATTCGCTACAGCCACGTGTAAGTAAATTTCAAACACTATGGAACCAATATGGGCCCAACTTACTATCCAGGCCAACTCCACTATGTGCAAACTAACCCAAGCGGTGATTTCAGTCTGCGCGCCAGGGATGGGGGTCCAGCGCGAATCCAAGAAACCTGCGCGGAGCGCCAATATATTGACGTGGCTTATTCTTCTTCTATTCTCGCTGTTGCGGCCTCTCGGGGCCCTCGCCGCGCCTCGGGGCCATCGAGAAGCGACTCGGGACGAGAAACTGGCCCCAGGGAGGTGTTCGTGAGGTGGGGGGCCGCCTCCTTCCGTCCTGCCTCGTTCATCTCCTTCCTCCCCTCCTTTCTCTGCCTCTTCTCATCCAGACTCAGTCATACTCAGACTCACTCACCTTCAGACTCCCTCGCACGCAGACTCAATCACAGTTAAATCCACTCACACGTAGACTCACGCGCACTCAGACTCACTCATACTGAGACTTACGCAGCGGTGTTTTTGCCGCTCACGCGCGACCGGTGAGGCCACCGAGTTCGCTTCCGAGTCTGTTCGGGCCTGCCCAAGATTGGGAGAACTCGTTCCAGAGCTGTCTTGCACGCTCTCAGAGCGCTCAGGAGCTCCCTGCAACGGCCGCGGTGCCCGATACATCTCCAGAGCCGCCGGATCTCAGAGATCCCCGATCGATCCCGGTCCGATTCTGGTTTGGTCTTGGCTTCGTTTTACCTCCCGCTAGTTCCACCAATCCAAGCTTCGCGAATCCTACATCTCTGCGACCGCTTCAGGGGCAACGCGAAGGAGAGAGCGCATCGACCCCCGATCGCCCATTCATCGCCGATGGGTGCCCGATAGCCCGCCCCGCACAGGAGCGTGCGGTTTCGGTATCGAGAGCTTATCGCCGGTCTATCGGCGATGTATCGCCGATCCCTTGTCGATGGGTTCTCCCCCCTCCCGAGCCAGTCCCCCCTATCGTTGCCTCTCACCACTTGCGAACACATACACTGCGAGTGGTCGACGCTGGGTCGGGCACGCCCGTCGGGGTTCATTTGGCTGCAGACACCCCTCATATTCTGACCCCACGCTGGTGTTGTTCAGATCTATGACTTTCAGGGCAATGGTTCACGTGTGGCTGGCTATTCCCTCTCCTTCCCCCTCCCCCTCCTCCTCCTTCTCCTCCTTCGCCTCCTCCTCCTCCTCCTCCTTCTTCTCCTCCTCGTCCTCGTCCTCTTCCTCCTCGTCCTCCTCCTCCTCCTCCTCCTCCTTCTCGTCCCTCCCACCAGATCGTGGCTTCGCAGCAAGTTGCGACTGTCGGGTTTTCAGCGTTCTCGGCCTCAGAGCTTCGGGGCCCCCAGGCCGTCAAGGAGCGCTTCGGAATGAGAATGGAGAGCCGGCCCCGTGGGACGGAGTCGAGATCCCAGGGCCCCACTCCACGACAGATGGAGTGACCTTCCTCCTCCTCCTCCTCCTCCTCCTCCTCCTCCTCCTCCTCCTCCTCCTCCTCCTCCTCCCAGGGCCCCACTCCACGACAGATGGCGCGCTGGGCCTCTGGGGCTGCGCGCCTCCCCGCCCTGTGCGCCTCGACGCGCTGAGGCTTCCGCTTCGGAGGGCACGCGGCCGGCTCCCCGCGGCGCCGGAGGGTTTCTCCGAAGGGCTTGGGCGACCCG